TTTAAACTTTAGAAAAACAAAATGGCTGTTCAAATTTACCGTTATCTAAAGTCCTTTTTTTCCAAATTTTTGATGTCGTTTTTCTTCTAGACCCCAGCCTGTAGAAGCTTGAAATTTTAGGAGCTTTTAGATATTAACAAATAGTTCATTTTGTTAGAAGAAAATTTTTTTCCATCTCCACCCCCTCTCAAGTTATCACCTCTTGAAATTCGTAAAATTTGAATTTTTGACACCTTATATTTCCGAAACCGTAAGCTTTTCCAAATTTTTATAAACGCAGAAAGCTAACGGTAAATTCCGTGAAATTAAAAAATATAATTATTTTTCTTAACTCACACAATTAACCCTTAAAATTGAGCATTGTGTTAACTCCTTTTTATATTAATTTTGCTTTATTTCAAAGACTGCATATATGCGTCATCCTAAGTATATGCAATCCTAGAAATAGTTTTGTATATGAATGAAAATAATTTTAATAGTGTGATAGGTATACATAGACTGTATTTAAAAGCAAAATTTTCACTTGTTGAAGGGAAAAGTGCTACAATACAAACCATTGGTTTGACCCAACTTTATTTTCTTTAAGATTCAATCTTTAAAGATTCAATTTTCTTTAAGATTTACTGTTCAGAGATAGAAGTACATAAACAATTTGAATGATATTAGGTTAAGATTATTTAAGTTAAATAAAGAGTTAAAGAGTTAATGATTGAGAAGCATTTACAGCCATAATGATTAAAATATAAACCACTATATTACTTACAGAAATTGAGAATATTTCACCTTAACAATTTTGGGATATTACAATTACAAAAAGAATTTCATTTATTATGGTAATAAGTAAATAATTAATTAATTAAATTTTATACAAATTTATTAATATACAATAGATTTAATTTAAAATTTTTACTATTTTATAAAAGATTCTATTAAGTTATACTCAAATAATATGAATGAATAAAGAGTATTTATGGTTTGTTCGACTTAAATTTTATATAACGAATAATATTTCTTCTTGAAAATCGATCAATTCAAATAAATTTATTTCAATATTAAAGGAAAATTTTGATACTTACAAACTTAAAAAAGATGTTCTATTCCTTGAATTCTTTTTATTAAATTTCTTTATTTTCTGTTAAAACATGCATATTGTTTTTTTGTTCCTTTCTATGAACTGTTCAAATTATTTTCGATTTTTAAAGACCTCAAATACCTTAATTTTGTTTTTCTACTTATAAAGTTTGAATAACTGAAAAACAAGCGAGTATAAAAGAAATATTCTTTAAGACTCCTATAAAGAGAATTTAGTGCCTTAAAAGTGAAATTAGTATCTTTATTAGAGAAATAAATTGTTATTCTACGTCTACCTACGTTGCATATGCCCTAATAATGTTACCTTTTAAAAATTGTTCTATTTATTGGAAATTTTCAATATTAAAAATTAATAATATAAAAATTAATATAAATATTTCTGTAAAATCAAAACTAATTAGGAAAATTTTTGATATAAATTGAGTAAAAATTCCAAAATCAAAATAGAATTTCAAGTAACCTTGAATTTATATATTTTTTTTGTGTAGGTGAGTAAGCAGAAATTAAAAAAAATATTTTTATAATTAAATTCTCAATCGCAAATACAAAAAAATTTTAATTTATTTCATATTTTTCTTTATACTCTCTTTGAATTGAAGGCCAAGTTTATTATTAAAGTATATTTTGTAATAGTTAACTTCATAATAGTATATACTATCACAACTTTTCCCACGAAATTATCTCTTTAATCTCTGTAGCATTAGAATAATACGCTTTGCCTTTTTACTTGCATAACAATAGTAGAATTATAAAAGAAAACCATCAGCAAATAAGTTCTTTCCTGTTTTTTTTTTCTATTTTTTGCTCTATAACTTTATTTAAATTATACTCTTTGTTCTTTTTGAAATTTAGTAATATAAAGCAAAAAAAAATAGTAATCGATAAGAGTAAAGCAAACAAAATAATAGAGAAAAAGAGCACTGAAGTATTTTTTTATTGTGCAAAGTTAATTTTTTCTTTTGTATTATATAAGTAGCATTCTAACGTTTAAAATTCTTAATGTTAAAAGGAAAGGTTTTTATAAGTGCCTATATTTAAAATAAAATATTTTTCATAAACTTACTACAATTTTTTAGTTTTCAAGTATTCTATATAATGACGTGAATAAAATGGAAATGTCGTATTTTATGAAATTGTGGCTTAAAGGTGGAAACTAAAAAAAGTATTTTAAACCTGAATATTACGTCCACCTGGAGTTGTGGGACTTCTAACAAAAGTAGGAGTAACAAAATCGGGCAGCAGACCGAGTGTGAGTCAATGATAGTAGATATTTTGCCATCTCATCCTCTTCCAAGCATAAGCGGCGCAATTCTCTCTCCACCTTGCCAATCATTTTCAGATGACCTGTGATGAAACTATTTTCGTGAAACAGTAAATACTCGAACCACCAGTTTCAAGTCTGGATGACTTAACGAGATCAACTCCCTCCACCTCTATATACAGACTGATATACAAATATAATATAAATATTATTATAATTTATATTATATCAAGAATAAAATCTCATTACCGAAACGAATTAAAACTATCATAATAAAATAAATTATTTTTTTTTTATTTTAAATAGAAATTTCTTGTATTTATTTTAATCATAATCTATGCCGTTTTTCCATTATGTATACATATACGAAAATAACATTGTTATTTTCTAATCAAGAAAATTTCATTTCCATTTCTATTTCCGGATAAAATATAATATCAAATATTCCGAATAATTACAATAAAAGTTAATTTAGAAAATTACTTACTCTACTTGTAACCATTAATTTTAATTTTTTTTTTTTTTTATTGTTACTTATACATTTTATATTGAAAATGTAACAAAGAGAAAACAATTTATATTTTTGTTGATTTAATTCTTCTGTTGCTTCTGCTCTTGTACTTTCGTAAATCAGGTGAAATAATTGAAAATCTATTTCTAAAAGAAGAAAACTTAACATAAAAATTAAAGTTGATATGATCAGGCGTAGATTGTTCACAAAATAACATGAAGAAATAAGTACAGTTTTAGGAGAGGGTTCTTAAACTTAGTCAGTAACTACTCCTACAAGTACGACGAAATAGTCATGGAGCAATGATTGATATTATTATGACGTAAGCACAAAATTTTTATTGAATTCCAAAACATTTTAAAAACTTCATATAGAGGGACAGGATTCTACAAATTTTGTCGATCATCATGAAATAAAGATCATATAACTAGTTTTCTGTTATTTGGTAATTATAATTACCTATTCACTTCCAAGAAAACGTGTAGTTTTTTGAATTTCTTAATACGATTAGTACGTTTGTTTATTAGAAAACTTGTATTAAAGTTTCATTTATTGGGAAATTATTAGGAAATTGTAATAATTTAGATATCTATTAGAAATTAATAATTATAAATATTACCATTACAGTACGAAAACAGAATGAAATAATAAATCAATTAGAAATTTGATAAAACAAACTAAAGTAGAAATTTATACTCCTTAGCCCATTTTTTTTAATTATTTATGAATTTTATATCTTGATTGACCTACACAAGATCTCTTTAACCTGCATATTTTACGTATAGCACTAGTTTTCTTCAAAAAATAGAACAATATTTCTTTCTTAAATATTCTACTTTTAATTCTATCCGAAATGAAGCAAATTCTATTGCATTACAGATTTGATAGCGGAAAATTAAAATATAATAAAATTCAAATTTTATACAAAATATACTTAATTGATTTTGCCTTATACCCACAGAAATAATAAAAATGTATTTCATTTATTCATCGAGTTTTACGAAATTTTCTTGATAAAGTTTAATTATAAAAATTCGTGGGCATATAAGATATATATATACATATATGTATGTATATATAATATGTAATTGGGTAAAATAATTATTATTAAAATTTATGTAATATAAAAATAATAAGTATAACATTTACTCAAATATTTCTGAATACGTCAGAGTAAACGGATTTTGAATGAAAATTTTTGAAGAAAATTTGTTTTCATATTTTTTAAACGTCTTAATAACATGATTTATTATAAATTATGAAGTAAAACCGAATATTCCAAAATTAAGATGGAAATAAATAGAAAGTATATTTTATATTATAATTAGCTATCAATTTATGGTACGATATTGATTAAATACTTTTTCTGTAGCTTATAGAAACCAAAACGCAACAGTATATTTGAAAAGTTTTGCATTTCAATTACTGATTTATTCCTAAACATATTAATATTTTTGGAAGGAGCGTTGTAAATTTGTAAATATTCTAAGAATTTTTTGTTTTTGGATTCATTTATTTAGAAATTCTAATTTGAATCGTTATATGCAATAAAAAAATTTCTAGCTACTGAAATTTCGGTAATCGGTTTCACTTCTTATAACTTTTATATTTCCGTTCCCTCTCTCTTAATTTTTCATTATTTTTTAGAAAAAGTTACACCTCATGTTTACCATTCAATAAAGTTTTTCTATATTTATTTTTTACTAGACATTTTTCTAGTTTTTCACTATCGTATTTGATTATTGTATTACTTCCGGGTTTTTTGATTTTTCCATATGATTTAATTTTGAAAATTTAGTTGATTCTATGCCAAACGTTCATCACCAATTCTTATTCTATATAGAAATAATAATTTTTCATTCTTAATACAAATTTTATCAGGTGTAAAATATTATTGTTATATAATGTATATTGTTATATATAAAAAGTAAATGAAATGAGATCATTTTTTTTATTAACAGTTATAAAACCGAGAGCTTAATTCATTATCAATAATTTTAGTACATATTTACTAATTTTTAATTATTAATGAAATTTCATAATAATTGTAAAATGTTGTATAAGAAATAAAATAAAATATTATTAAATTTTTTATTAATTTTTTCAAATTATTTTTTTTTTTTTATTTTCTTATAGAATTATGTAATGCCGCATCAAAAATTCAAGCAACATTCCGTGGTCATCTAGCCAGAAAGCTTGGAACAACTGAAAATGGCAAATTAAAAGAAGAAGATGTTGATATACAGGAATTAACTAAAAAAGTTGCTGAAGAATTGGACATTGATTTAAGTGATCCGGATTTAAATGCTGCAGCAACAAAAATTCAAGCATCATTCCGTGGACATAAAGTTCGCAAAACTGATGGTAAATAAATAATTAAAAAATAGATAACAAAAAAAAAAAAAAACAAAGTTTGATGAAAATTTATAAACAAAAAAAAAAAAAAAGAAAAGCAGCACACACCCATTATTAAATAAAATTTTTAAAGCTAATTTAAATTACAAAATAACAAAAAAAAAAAAATTAAAAATATTATAAAATAATTTTAAAACAACCAATATGTATAGTGAGGATATAAAATATATTAATAAATTTAAAAAAATATTAAATATATTATATATATAAATATACATTTATAATTAATTATTACTAAATTTATTTATATTTATTAATATCAGTATACACCCCCCAAGAACCTTTTAAAATTACATTATATTCAAAATGAAAAACCAAAACCAACAACAACTACTACTACCATTATTTATTATACATATTATAACAATAATTTGGTCAATTTTTAAAATAAACATTCATACACCCATATAGTATATATATATATGTATATATATATGTACATTACAAAACTTAGCAAATTTGAGATATGAAGAATACCAATTTATTAAATACAATATTAATATAATTGTATATATACATATAATAAATGTAAAGCTATAATTATATATACACCCACATACACAGCAGCTACAACAAAAAAAAAAATAAATTTTACATAAATATTTAAAACCATTAAATTGATGTTAAACATAGAAATTCATATAACAAATAAATAGATACAACAGTATAACAGTTATCAAAGAAAACTGATAATAATAATCAAAATACAAACCACTAAATTAATGAAAATAAAACCATTAAAAAAAAAATTTTAGAAAAAAAAAACACATTAGTTAATTACTTAGATAAAGAAAAATAAAATGAGTAAAAAAAACAAAGAAAAATTTGATAAGTAATAAATAAAATTAAATTAAACAAAAAAAATGAGCAAAAAAAATAAAAATTAAGAGAGTAAAATAAGAGAACCCAAAACAAAGAAAAAAAAAATTAAACCAATCAAAATGTTAATTTTTAATAATGTTAAGAGATTTTAAGAAATCAAAATAATAAAAAAAAAACAAAAACAAAAAAAAAATAAATAACTTTTGATCAAACCAGCTTTACTTTTTTTTGAAAAGACATAAAAAAATATCTATATGAAATAATATTAAATATTTTCTAAATTATTAAAATGAAAAATATAACAGAAAAAAAAAATTGCATTTTACTATAAAAAAAATTTTTCAATATTCTTAATTCAATTGAGAAAAAAATTTTTCCAATATAAATTTTATCTTTATTTAGTTATAGAAAATTTTTTTTTAATTTTCTTTAAAAAAAAAAAAATATTTTAAAATTTAAATTTCAGTAAAATCCAATATGTTAACCACTAATAATGTTATCGATTTTCATTAGAACGAATTAAATTTCAAATATACTCTCAGAATAAAGAGTTATCTACTATCGTAACAATTTAAATTGTATTCAATATTCAAATAAAATTACTTTCATACATTGATGTGAGAGTGATAAATGTATGCTCTCAACATACAGTTGAACTTAACAGTTTAAGAATAATAATAAATAAAAAAACAATCAAACAATATACTCTCTTTTGAATATAAAGAACATAATTTCTTTATTTCATAACAATGAAAAGAGATAATGAAAATTTCAAATAATAATGAAGAGATAATGAGATTACTAACATTTTAAAATTAACATTTTTTAATTTTATAATATATTCTCAATTAAAGAAATTGAGGAAATTGATTAATATTGAAAATTATAAATTTATTATATTATACAAAGTTTTTTTTACATTTAAATATGAAAGAAGAGAATAGAAGCAGAGAAAATTTCATAATAGCTATTTATTGTTAAAACCATTTTATAAAATATAAAATTAACAAGAGCTATAAAATATTTTCAAAAATTTTACAATTTCAATAAAAATTTATTAAATATGTATTCGATAACAGACCTACAAAATTTTCAGGTTAAAAAATATGATTACCTATTGATTTTAATTAACGATTAATAACAATGGTTAGAATACTGAGAGGAATAATTTGCTGACATTATTAAAATTATTTAAAAATTGCCTACTTTTCGGGATTTTACTGAACATATAAACATTTTCAGTTTTAAAATACATATGTATCTATACAAAAATGAATTCATAATTATAAGCTTTACAATATCAAAAATGAAATAATAAACATGTAAAATTTTACAAAAGAACAAAAAAACTTAAACAATGAAAATAATAACAAAAAAAAAAATAAATAATTGAAATATAAAATAAAATAATTGTGAATTTAAATTTAAAATTCACAATCATTTTAATTTCATTTTATAATTTTACTTTTTTAATGCTCTGTGGTCTATAATATAAAACAATGTGTTACAATATAATGGTTTTTTATTTTTTTTCTTTTTTCACTCTTCCCAAAATTATAACTATATCATACATTTGTAAATAAAATGAAAAAACGAAATTATTTTTGAAGGAATCAATCGTAGGATTTTTAAAAATGAAAAGAAAAATTTTAAATTAATCACAAAACAAATGAATTTAGAATATATAGGGATAATTTCATTCTAATACTATAATTTATAAATATTAAATTTTTTTAAATTTATTTTGAATAATTAAATTAAATTGATAAATTTGAATAATTAAATTATTATTTAATGTGTAGAGGGTTGTTTTCGTGGAATAATAAAAAAAAAAATTGAATATAATTTTTAATTTAATTATTATTTATGCTGATCTATACAGTTATAAATTATAAATTATATTAAAAATAAAAAATAAATTAAATTAATTTATGATATAATTTTGTGTATATTATATTGTCATACACGTGGACATGAATATTCGCGAAAAGGAGGGAAAAATGAGTAAGAAAACAGACAAAAAGAAAAAAAAAATTAATAAAATTTATACAATTCGCAGTTCTATGATTTTTAGTAGTTTAGAATTTTGTTTTTTTTTTTTTATGTAGGGCGCCTTGTTTATTATCAAAGGATTCAGAAAAAAAAATAAGCATAGAGTAAAAGGGAATTCCATATAATTATATCAATAATTTAAGTCTCTTTAGTAACTTACAAAATTATTATATTTTTTTTTTTTTATTTTCATTTTGGAATTTTTTTTTTTATTTTCGGTTAACTTATTCCTTAATTTATTTACTTATTTTTTTTTTAGTTTTGTCTTAATATTAAAATTTTGCAAATTTGTTTATTTGGGAGAAGTTATGGCGCCAATTTTCACCATTAACCACACTATATATATATATATATATGTATATATACATAATATAATTCTTATTTTTATTTATGTTTATTATTAAAGGAATGTTTTCCCCATTGTTTTTTTTTTCTCTTTGTTCTTTTTCATTTTATTCATTATTTTTATTATAATTATTATTATTGTTTCTTGTTTTCTTATTTCTTCCTATACATATTATGTGTATAAAAGAAGTTTCAAGGACAAAATAAAAATATAAAATTTTTTTCTTAATCAAAACTGATTCTGATCACAAAAAAAAGAAAAAAATATACGTCTATATTCAAAACTTTTTTTATAACTTTCATTTTTTTCTTCCTACTATACTCGTAAAGGAAGAGAATTCAATAAATATAAAAACTACGAGTATATTATATATATATACATGTGTATAATACTAAAAACAATAAATTTATAATAAGATGTTTTTGAATCTGAGATTTAATAGCAGTAAATGTAAAAAAGAAAAAAAAGACAGAAAAATTTCCTCACTTTTTTTCTTTTATTCCATTTAAGGATTCATAAATAAACGACAGGATATAAAAATTCTGGTGATGTCATAATAACATATTATACATATATACTAAGTAAAATATATATTAGAATTTATCGGAGACCATATTCAAAATTCTATTTTTTTCAATACAAAATTTATATATAAGTAAATGTAGGAAAATTTTAATATTTTTTTTTTATTTTTTGAATGATAATAAAAAAAAAAGAAATTTATGTTCATCAAATTTTTTAGTTTTATTATTAACAGTATTTATTACTGTTATTATTTTTGTTCTTTTACCAGTTAAATCGTATATTATTCACATATTTTTTTTTATTTTATTTCTTTACATGTAATGGTATGTATATACACCTACACCAGTCTAAATTAATATGGTGAAATCTGTTCTATCATAATTATTTTGAAATATAAACTCTTTTTTGATTGATTTTTTTGATTTGATTAACGTACCACACGTGCTATTCAAGATCAAGTTCAAAAATTAAAATTTTTAATCAAAAAATATGACACATAACGACACTGATTTTATCCTAGTAATTCAGATCGGAATAACAAAATTAATAATTAATATGAAATCATGTTACTATCATATTAATATTGGGAATCTAGAATCGAAAGCAAAGTATTTTTTAAAAAAATTTCATTTATTTCTTATAATTTATTAATTAATTTTTATTATTATTGTTAAGGGATTAATTAAAAAACAATATAAAATTATTTTTTATGAATCTAATTTAAAATTTTCACAACACTATCGTGAAAATTGGGAAATTTTTTCTTCCCATCCTTATAAAGAAATTAATTCTTGAAGAAAAATTAAAATCATCCCCAATATATTCTTTTATTTTAACGAGATTTGATTCCTTTAAATATGAAATTGAAAACAAAAAAAAAAATTCAGACATTCCTTTACAAACACATTCATATAATTATACAAAAACAAACTTATATTACAAAATATAATAATATTAATAATATTAATAAATAAATATTTTAAAAATATACTAAATATAAAATAATTTTTCTTAAATTTTTATTAAATTTCCAGAAAAAAAAAAAAATATAAAAATTAATTATGAATAATGGAAAGTATAATTGTTTAGCAAATAAAGTGAAACAAGAAATTTTATTATTTAACAAAAAAAAATAAAACAAGAACATAAAATAAGAACAAAAAATAATTTATTTTCAATTCTAATATTATGAAAAATGCATCCTTGAAGGATAATTTATTAATAAATATTAAATAAATGAAAAATATTTGAAAAAAAAAATTGCTTTAAAAATTTATTAAAAATTTATAAAATAATTAACGAAAAATTAATTCCCATACAAAATTCTGAATTTTAATAAACAAAAAAAAAAAAAACTAATAAAAAAATATTACATGCATACATATACATACAATATACTTAACAAGTATATTGTATGATATTATACTGTATAGTGTCCTTTCTATACACATTCAATACACAAACAAACAGAGACACACACACACACACACATAATACACATATACAATATTTTTATTTTAATGAACAAAAAATTTTTAAAATTCAAAAAATTAAGACAAAAACAAAATAAATAAATTAAAAATTATACAAGAAAAATGAATGAAAACAAGAAAAATAAAAACAACAAAAACCAAAATAAAATTAAAATTAAAGGTAATCTTTGTTACTTATTTTTAAAAAAAAAAAAAACAAATATAAAATTTAAATCAATAAACTAAAATTAAAAAAAAAAAAAATTGAAAATTTGAAAAAGAAAAAAAATAACAAATAAAATAATATGAAATTTTTCCTATATTTATATAAAAAAAAAATCATATTATGTAATATTAAAAAATAAAAAAGAAAAAAACATAAAATAAAAATATTACTTAAAAAATTATACCTAATAAATTGAAAAAAAAGCATAAATAACACTCCCTGCCCTCCTCCGCCCTCCCCGCCCCCCCCCCCTTTTCCTTAAATTCTCCCATATGAAATTGTTAATTATTTGTAGTAGATAAACAAAGAATGTACTTTATTTTTATGATTCAAAAACTGAAATGAAGCTAAATAAAGAAAACGCGCACTCACAACTCTGACACTGACAGGAATCATTAATTATTCTAAACAAAAAACAAAAAAAAAATTTAATTGAATCTAAATAAATCAATGATTAAATATTTTAATAATTATAAATGAAATGCTTATTAATTTTAATTAGTTACTTTAAAACTATTGAAGTACTTGTACATTTTCTTGTAAGTACTTATATTTAATTACTTATATTTAAGTACTTTTAATTTTAAATACAATATTTGCTTAAAGTTGCTTAAATTCTTTTTTTGTTGTTTTTGTAAATGTTGGGTATAATGACGGGGGGGAAAAATAATACTGGAATCGATTACTTTTTCATTTATATATTTTATAATTTTTTAATCAATTGATTACTTTTATTTAATTTTGTTATTTTAACAATAAAATTAATTAATATTGAAATCTGTACAATATTTTTTTTAGAAAACCATAATAATTTATAACAATTTTCAATAACAGTTATAAATATTATAATAACAATTACCGATTACTTTATTATTAAAATTTTTTATATTATTATTGTTATTTTCTAATTATTTGTTAAAAATTATTTTAAAGTAAATTTTTAAAAAATAATATTCGATTATCAAATTTTAATTACAGTTATATTTTTTAATATTGGATTACAATTCGTATATATATATAGGCTTCATGGTACATTTGCTTGGTAATTGAATTTTAATGTAAAATTTAATTTTAATTTTGACGTAATTATGTATTAAATAACAGATTACTATACAAATGTAATCAGAATAAGTAATCAAAAATCTAGTATGTGAAAAAAATACGTCCCATAGTTACAACAAATCACAATTATAAATTGAATGGAAACTTTTTTTTTTGCTTAATTTAAAAAAAAAATTAAATATATTAATAATTTTAATTATTTTATTAATTAATTAATATTAATTAAATATTCACAATTTTATGATTTCCAAAAAAAAAAAATTTCCAAATTACCTTATTAGATAATATAAAAAAAATATATACATACCTATATATATTTTTGGAATTATTGCTGAAAAATTTATTCTTATTGAATTTTATTCAATAATTATATGTATGAGTATATAACCATATAATTTATATACATATATATAAATATAATATAATCAAATGAATATTAATATTACATCATTATATTAAATAGTAATCAATTTACACACTTTTACAAAATCATTCAAAATTGAATTGAAATCAGTATTGTTGAAATCAGAGTTTCATAATGTTATTCAGTATAACAGTTATTAATTTAATTTTATAATAATTATATTAAAGTTATTCATTCATTCTGAAAAAAAAAAAATAGTAATCTCGGTTACATGATTTTTAATAAAATGACAATTGGTAGACAATTTTTTCGAAAATCGAATCAATGAAACACACAATAACACTGTCATTGTACCCTCCAAATTATCGTTAATTTTTAATTTATTTTTAAAAATAAAAAATAATTAAAGAATAAATTTAAAAAAAAAAATTAAAAAAAAAAATATATTATTTAATATTTTAACTGATTACCCAATCAAAAAATAAACAAAAAAAAATAAAAATTAAAAAATAAAAGTAATTAAAGTAATTTGAAGAAAAAAAAAAGGAAATAATTATTATTACTAATTATTATTATTGTAAAATTTCAAAACAAAAAAAAAAACAAAAAAAAAAAACCAAAAACAATTAAAAATTGTAAATGAATTGAACTAGTTTTATTTGAAAATAAAAATTAAAAAAAAAACTCCAGTTATATCTTTTTTTTATTTAGTCTAGTTTTGGAAAAATTATTGTTCTCCTTCTAGCATAAAATTTGGGAAATTTTGCAGTTTCGGACATTACAAAAAGCCAAAAATCAAATTTCTCATATCTTTGGCGGCAATAACTTGAGGAGGTCGAGATAGAAAAAAACTTTCTTCTAACGAAATAAAATATTTGGTATAGTATCTAACGGCTCCTAAAATTGCAGACTCCTGTAATTTGCCGTCTAGAAGAAAAAGGATATGAAAAATTGAAAAAAAATAGTTTTTTAGATAATAGTCAAGTTTAACGGCCATTTTGTTTTCTTATAGTTCAACCACACTATGCTACGGTAGAAAAAACCCACCACTACTTTTCTATATTCGAAAAATTTACAAAATATTTGTGGTTTTCCTACAACAAATTTTAAAAAATTTGAATTTTTTGAACTTTGATGGGCTAAAATTTTAGAAGAGGAAGAGTGAGAACGATTTGTATAAATTTTCTTCTATGGTAATAAGTTTCTGGTAAAAAAGTATACATTTTTACAGCATAGCTACATAAAATTTCCACTTTCTGTTTTACAAAAGCTGTAAAAGTTTAGTAAACAGATCCACACCGACGGGCAGAGTGAAACTGATAAGGAATTTTTTTCAAATTTTTTTTTTGGGAATTCTAAAAAACAATCAACTAACTATTTAAATTATTTTAATTCAAATAGCAAAATATTTCGAATTATTGCATACTTTCAGGGTGCAAAAGAAAATTGAAAAATGCGTTAATTGTATTGTTCAAATCGATGCTTCAGTACGTTAAGATAAATAATTATACTTTTTGAAGCTATTGAAATTACCGACTTTTGTTTTTATAAAAATTTGGGAAGGGTGCGATTTCGGAAATATAAGGAACAACTTAATGAAGAAGAGGAGGAGATGCAGATGGAAAAACTATTTCTTCCAAATTTGGGCGGCCAATTTATCACGCCTAATGTTCAATTGAGCCGAGTCGCGTTAATATAAGCCATTAGTTGCTATTATAAATTCGCAGAATTTTTTTGATTATTCTAATATAGTAAAAATTCAAAAGATAATATTATTGGGAATTAAATGGGCTACAAATTTTAAGGGGATTATGGAATAATAAGTAAAAATTTTGTTTTAGTAAAATGAGTTTCTAATAATGATGTATTTGTGCATAAAGTTTAAATTTTCTATCTGAAAGGGTGCAAAATTTTCGCAACTAGACGATATTTAAAAATAAAAATTAAAAGAATTTTCTAGAATCAAAAAGAATATTTAAACAAAAACCTCTAAATCCCTTGGATTTTTGTTTCGAATAAACGAAAACGCATCATGAAAATGAGATTCAAGAATAAAATTGGAATGATTATAAGACATCAATTCCAAAAATTACCATGAAATACAAATAAAAATAAATTTCAAAGAACGTGACAAATTCTAAACAGAATATGAAAATTTGTGATTGATGCCGTTTACGATTCATTCCATAATCTATAAAAAAGCAAGAATGACAAAATCACGTTCAATTCTTTCACACTCTTAGAGAAGATCTATTTTCCAAAATAATTCGTAACCTTTATATTATTTAAAATACATTTTGTATATATACAAATCTTTCATTTTTATTTTCAAACACATATCTATTCATTGATTTGCTGTCAATATATATAAGCTTATAAAAATATTTTGTCTAAGCAAATTCTCCCTCCAAAAATATTTTATCTGTGTATTCTCCCTCCAGCCTCAAATAAACGGAAAAAGAATGTAAATGTTGAATAGTTTTGTTTTTTCGATAAATTGGTAATATTTAATAAACGTTGTTTCTTAGATTACATGATTGTATGTAAAATGAGCGTAAAAGTGTAAGAAATTCTACTATGTTTAGATCATTCCAATTTCTTTTGACAATAACTTTATATAAAATTTGTACAGATATCGTGAGGACTAATTAAAATTATCGTCATACTTAACATTGCTTATTATCCAATCAGCAACTACAAATTAAGCCAAAAAAAATCCCAAAAAGTTTTTGCCACGCTATATTTAATTTTACATCAGATTTAGCTATAGGCGAAATAAAGAATTAATACTACAATAATATAGAACGCTGGAAGGTTGACCGTCAATTTGGCTGGACAATAAGAGTATTGCAGTTATTTAGTTAATAATAAGGGCTATTGTTTGGGCTCCAAACGGAGATTTTGGCCCCCTTTTCTGCATGTGATAAATAAATATTTTCTAATCCAGTACATTCAAGGAGGAAATTATGAAACAAAAATGTTCTGGAAAAACGTAATTTAAAAGTTTATATAATGCAGCCACATAAAAAATCCAACCCCATCTAACAACCTATTAAACTCGTGTCAAAAATCAAGGTTTTCTCTTCTGTGTCACTGTTTTTAGGGTTTCTAAAAGGAGACAAAAATATTCTTTTTACTCTCTTCTTTAGATCCATATTTACTTAATAATCCATCTTTACATTCATAATATCTTAACAATTAATGAAGGCTATATTTATGTTGCGTGACTTTTAGGCAGATGTATGAAGTTTCAAATATAAATTGCTCATCATTGAGTATTAAATTACAAAAAAGAAAAATTAAGAATAACTTAGTATCAGTATGAGAATATTAATAAGCATACAGAGTGTCTTACAGTATTGTAGGGCTCTCCCTTTAAACCACAAAACTCCAGTTTTTTTTGCAAAACCGGCTACTATGTGAAATTGTACAACGGCAGTTCTAATAATAGTATTAAAGGAATATATCGAATATATTTTTTTGTTCAATAAAGGAAGGCAGCGGTAAGGTCTAAAATTTTTATGATAATTTAATATTTAATTTATTTTATTTAATACCTCATTTATACTACGTATTTCATTTTTTTTTTCATTAATCATTTCAGATTTTTATTTTTTACTCTAAATACTGTAAATAATTTATTATTAATAGCAGTGAATTTTTTTTTTTCAAAATATTACACTTAATATACGAGTAATGTGACGTAATCCATTTTGATTTAAAAAGAATAATATTTAAAATAAATACAAAAATAAAATTGAAGAATTATTCAAAAGAAAAACAAATATTTTAATAAAATAAATTATTGACAGTAGAATGTATTGATTTTTATTCATTTAAAGTAAAATAAAATTATTATTTCACTTTCCCGGCAACAATTTTTTAATGTTTAGGGGAATATAATACTGTAAAGATGCGAAATTTTTATATGCATAACAAATTTCAACTATTTTCGGATAGTTGGCTTAAAACTGTTATATAATTAACATATCAAACAACAAATCTTCAATATTTTAGTTATTATACTTGAAACTCCTGGACCGCAGAATTTCTGTACAATACAGCATTTCATCTATAAACTAATCCAACCAAAAGTGAGATGAATGGGTGAGATGAAAAGTTAAAATGGGCGAATTCATCCTTATATTATTTCATGATGCACATCATTTCTTGCTAGTGGAGATATTTGAGATTCTTTTTAATAGGGCACTTAATATTCTTAAAACCACACAAGGTTCTATAACAATATTGCAATAATTGTAATAATAATTTTACAATCAATTTTCATGGCATCTTTCAAACATAAATTTTTTACCAATTTTACATCTTGTTGCTAATAAATTGGATTTCTTAATCCTACATTTTATTTAATTTTCCACAGACTACTCGAGAAACTAAAATGCGTCTAAAATATTACCAAATATCTTTGCCAAATTTTTGACTTATTTCTAAATAGAATCAACAGTAAAATCAATAAAGAAAAAAAAAAATTTTTTTTTTTTTATTTTTTCTAGTTTCGTTTCCTTTTCAAAAGGATATTTACCCTTTTTTCTTTTAAAATATTTGCAACAAATTTCTTCTCTATTCTGCCAAGATATTTTAACAAATTGAAAATATAGATAAACACTGCATTGAATACTTTTTATAAGAAATATTTGAACATTTTGCTTTATTGCACACACACAGACACAAATATATTTTTAGTTTATATGCATAATATTCCAAGTGAATTAATATAAATCAAATTTATTTCATTGAAATTCTTTTATTGCATCGTATATAACGAGTACATTAACATTATTCTTACTACTGTGTTAAAGCAATTAAGTAGGTATACTAGCAACTCTTATTGTATTTATTATTTAATATTCCTACAAGATGTTGATGAAATTTTAATCTATTTAGAGTCTTACCTCTTCGAAATGCTATTAGACTTGGTTTATACTAGGGTTCAGTTGATTTGCTTCAAATTTTTGTTAATTCTTAAGAAATATTCAAAAAGGGCACCAAATTGAAATTGTACGTATATGACCATAATCTCAAAGAAACAAATTAAATTTCAAAGTAAAATAAATAGCAACAAGTAAATGGTACAAACTTTTGGAGCTGTGGAACCTATAATATAGAGATACAAATAAGTACTATTTTCTAAAATTCTTCCGATTGCAATTTTCAAATTCACCCTATAAATATGCAATGAAGATTATTTTCACTTTGAATTTATTCAAATGGAAGTGTTGTCCAAATTTATCTACATTTTATTTCCACATAAAAGATTTAACGATACAAACGGAAAATAGGAAAATTTTTTTTTTTTATTTTATTACAGTAAATGCATTTTATAATCTTAAATTTTTGAAAAAATAATGTTCTCGTTTCTTTTTATGTCATTTCATTATAAATCAAAAAGAGATTTTAATATCCTTTTTATTTTCATATTATAGGAAAAGGTTAAGGAAAGGATGTTAATGCTTGTTTAAAGAAACTTTTTGATGCAATTCATTTTTTTTTTTATTTCAAAAACCATT